CTGGTTCTGCCAGGTTTCTCCATTCGGGCACTCCAGCCATCGCTTGCAAGGAGCGACCGCGCCAAACATCTCTTGGAGAGAACATTTCTCATCATTATCTTTTGGCATCCACTAACAACGCACCAACGGCAAACCGATTATGACCCTTCCTATCAGTTTTCAAACCCAGACATGCGGCAAACGGTTGTCACCGCAACATGGAGAGAGTGAACTTGCCAAGCACTCTTGGAACCCTGATTTCAATTCCAAAGCTTGAAGATGTGATCGCACCAGACAGTTTTTGGAGAAGACATGTGTTAGTAAAGTATCCCGGCGGGTTGTTTATCGAACCCGCGTTTTCAACGTTTGCGGTGTTCGTCATTGATTTCATACCACAAATCACAGTGGTTTTGCATGTCTCTCAAAGTTCAATTTCCTTAAGAAGTACGCGCGTACTTTTACTGGATATGTAAAAAAGCTCAGCGGCACTCTCTTTTTTTCTGCGCTAAGTGTTCTTCACAATTTCTGCAGTGAGCTTGCAGAGGTTTTTGTGGGAACTGTTTTCCCATCTCCACTGCCAAGCGCGAACATGCGTCCAAATCTTGCCATTGAGCAAGACTAACGTAGACTAACGTAGCATCATATATGTGAGGAAGTGCAAGACGATATACAGTAGCGTTGCATCATGTATGTGAGGAAGTGCAAGACGACGTACACTAGTGTAGCATCATATATTTGAGGAAGTGCAAGACGACGTACAGCAGCATAGCATCATGTATGTGAGGACGTGCAAGAAGACGTACAGCAGCGTAGCATCATGCATGTGAGGAAGTGCAAAAAGACGTACAGCAGCGTAGCATCATGTATGTCAGGCAGTGCAAATGAACGTTATTACCCCACCCCACCCCGTTAACCCCATGAAAGACATAGAAACATGCAAAACGCTGGTTCGGTTTTCAACCCGTAGGCTAAAGTATGGATCACAAGGCTCTTGGGTCTAGCACGCTAGCATGAAAACTTTTCCCCGTGAATCCCGCCAGTCTGATCACCTCAGTTGGTAAACCACCATCGATTTTTTGGGAACAACCTTTGTGGTCCATGTGTCCAGTGGTATACGTTTGGAAATAGACAAAGTCGAGCCGCTTTTGACCTTGCCACGCGATCATGAAACCTTGACCTTTGGTGACGCGTTTTCGCAACAAAATGGAAGGAGTGGATAGATATGCGAATCAGGTTTGGAAAGTTTGGGTTTGCACAAATCATTTATAAAGTTCTCTTGATATTTTGACTCAAGTGCCTTGATCCAAAATAGCAGGATTTTTCTTGTTTCCTCACCCAGGACCCGGGGGTGGTCTTGAACCTTGAAGGCTCAGTATGAGCTAGAGTCTGCGCTAGCAACGCAGTAATCAGCGAGTTTTGGGGGCCTCTGTGATACAGAGAGCTTTTGAGTATTCATTAGCGTTCTCGTGGTTACGAGAGATTTTTGTGAAATCAGGCTCATCCCTGGAAGGGCCAGGGACGAGGACTTGTGTGTGGTCAGACTCATCCATGGAGTGACCAGGGATGGATATGCCAGGGAACTGGCTACGCTGATCAGGCTGCGAGGCTGCAGCTACCCAAGGCAAAACCCGCAGAGGGCAAGTTCATGTGACTTAGCCACTTAGCCGTTGCCTCGGAAAGCTTCAGATGAGAGAGAAGAGCGTCTTCCTTGTCTCTGTAGTAGCCTGCTAGTGCGAAACTTTGTAAATGTGTTGTAACTCTGACTTCGCCCCCAGAGCTTCAAGGGATCATGTCAAACGCGTCTTGGAAACAGAATGCTTTGAAACTATCCATGCTGGGTCTATTTGCTGACATTTGCGGTAAACCTTGTTTTTTTTTAACGTTCGTATGCATTATTGCACGTCCGTAGTCGTAATTCGGCAACATTTGCGGAACTATAATTTTACCGCAACATGCGGTGAGCATTTTTCCGGATTCATTTTTGTTTGAAACTCCTCCACATTTGCTGTGCTTGTGATGTCAGTTGCTGCAGTTGCATGTTTGTATATATATATAACGCGTGTTTCTGTATATTGGTTATATGTATACCGTGGCGATAGCCTCACGCTAAGTAGATGAATACATATACTTGGCGAGGTTTCGACTAAATTTGTAGAGCGGTTACGCGAGCGTAGGTTCCGTGTTTTTTCCTGGGAGGGTCTAGGGAGGGAATCTACTTACGCGACTAGCACATCACGGTTCATCACGTTTTGTCATGGTATTTTCGACGGGTTCACTGTTTTCAAAAAATGATTCGTCACGATTTGTCAAGATTTTGGCCTACATATCGATTCGCATGCGCATTTTCGAAACAAAGGATGTTTGCGCTTTTTCATCGATTTCCCACACAATTCAGTGGATTTCCGACAGATTCCAACAAATGTCACCAAAATCAAATGTAGATGTAGCCGTATTTTTACGACATTGCTATTTTTGATCTAAGATTGCCGGCATCGATTCTCCGGGATTTATGTATCTATTTTGCTATTTTTTTACACATGATGTGGAAGTTATGCGCCGATCTAAGGGGCAGGTATTTTTCCATTTTTTTTGGACAGATGACATGGGAATAAATGATCAAATTTACACATGACATGGGACTCAGGATGTTATTGTCGATTTTGGATTCATTTTGGAAAACAATTTTTGGAGGTTCCATTTTTGGGGTGCCATCTGTGGCCCTGTCCGCCCAGACAATGGGACAGCAGGTCCCTGACCTAACGGGCAGGTATTTTTCAATTTTTTTTGACACATGACATGGGAATAAATGATCAAATTTACAAATGAGTTTGGACAGATACAATGGGAATAAATGATCAAATTTACACATGACATGGGACTCAGGATATTATTGTCGATTTTGGATTCATTTTGGAAAACAATTTTTGGAGGTTCCATTTTTGGGGTGCCATCTGTGGCCCTGTCCGCCCAGACAATGGGACAGCAGGTCCCTGACCTAACGGGCAGGTATTTTTCAATTTTTTGACACATGACATGGGAATAAATGATCAAATTTACACATGAGATGGGACTCAAGGTATTATTGTCGGTTTTGGATTCATTTTGTTTTTTTTTTGGGGGGGGTTCCATTTTTGGGGTGCCATCTGTAATTTTACTGCCCAAGATGGCACCTGAAAAAAATGGCGCCAGAAAAAAAAATCTACTATCTGGGCGTATATTGGGGAAGATGGCGCCTCAAGAATGGCGATTTGGTTTCAGAAAAAACACTGGGACTTCTGTCCTACTGTCCGGACGTATATTGGGGAAGATTGCGCCCAAAGAATGGGCATTTGGTTTCAGAAAAAATTGTCAGGCATTTCTGTCCTACAATCTGGGCGTATATTGGGGAAGATGGCGCCCCAAGAATGGACATTTGGTTTCAGGACAATTTTCAGGGACCTGCTGTCCCACTGTCTGGGCGGATAAGGCCACAAATGGCACCCCAAAAATGGACGTGTTGTGGCAGGACATCTTTCAGGGACTTCTGTCCCATTCTCTGGACACACATGGTTCCAAAAATGGTTTTCCAAAAAGAGATTGACCAAATGGGAGGAGCAACTGAGCACTTTTTTGAGAACAGAAAACTTAAATTTATTTTCCGTCTTTAGTACGTTACGGAAGTTGCTCAGTTGCTCTGCGGATTCTGCCAAAGATGGCACCCGAAAAAATTGACAATTTTGTACCAGAAAATTTTCAGGGATTTTTGTTCCACTATCTGGGCGTATTTGTGCCAGGGACTTCTGTCCCACTATCTGGACGTATATAAGAATTTGGTTCCAGGAAAATTTTCAGAGATTTTGTGTCCCACTATACTGCCAAAGATGGCGCCCGAAAAAATTGACAATTTTGTACCAGAAAACTTTCAGGGATTTTTGTCCCACTATCTGGGCGTATTTGTGCCAGGGACTTCTGTCCCACTATCTGGACGTATATCGCTAAAGATGGCGCCGAAAAAATGGCCAATTTGGTTCCAGGAAAATTTTCAGAGATTTTTGTCCCACTATCTGGGCGTATATTGGGGAAGATGGCGTCCCAAGAATGGACATTTGGTTTTAAAAGGACTTTTTTCAGAAGCAGCCGCGGCTGCACTTTCTGTCGAGGAACTTCTCGAACATGGTAGATTGCAGCTACTTTGCTTTTGTTGACGCCTTCGCCGTTTTCGCCTTCTTCGTCCTGGACTTCGCCGCCGTCGCCGTCCTCATCCTGGACTTCCGCCGCCCGCCCTCGTCGTTTTCTTCCTGGACTTCGCCGCCGTCGCCGTCCTCATCCTGGACTTCGCCGCCCGCCTTCGTCGTCTTCTTCCTGGACTTCGCCGCGTTCGCCGCCTTCTTGCTGGACTTTGTCGTCTTCATGTGCCTTGCCTCGGGTGTTTGTGGGCGTCCGATCTGGACTGAGGAGCAAAAGGTCGAGACCGCATGGCTTTAATTTAATTGTTCTTGAGAAGGCTCACATGGGGTGGTGACAGCTTTGTTATCCAATACCAGCTGAAGGGAGTCAAAACAGATCGCTTGCGGCAAGAGAAGATTTGCCATTGGGTGCCCGTGTTGCGTCACTTTGGCCCTCACCATGTGCATGTGCGAGCTGAACATTTGTGGTTTGTTTTTGTCGTTTGTTGAGTTTGAATGGCCCAAACTGACACACGAAGACGCGTGCGTGGCATGGCTCCAAAAAGGAACACCGAGGCGAGATCACTTGGGTTGTGGCTTTCAATGATTGATCGGGTTGTCTTTAAAAGGTTGATTTTGAGGTCCTAGTTTTGGACCCTTGAAAACCAATGCAAAATGGAGACGCTTGTTGGGCCTCCCCGGTGCTGCAACCGCTTCTTCGCAAAACCATGCTTTGTTAGTGCAAAGTATCGGCGAAGTGTTGACTCAAAGGTTGACATACCTATCATATGACATAGGGTTTGCGATGTTCTTCGAAGCTATTTGCCTTTGTGCACATGTGTCTTGTGTGGCTGCTTTTGTCGATGTCAAGCCCAGGCCAATTTCCGTATGCATTCGTGGCAGCCATGGCCGCTGTGGGTGGTGAGCTGAAAAGTGTCGTTCAGCACCTGCGAGCTTTGCAGAGAAGATTGTGCAGACGCAAAAGACTTGAGCTTGCCAAGGAGGAAGGAACTAGCGACCCCCGAGAGCATGTGATGCTCAAAGTACAGCCTACTGCAACATCTGTTTTGGCTGTTTTCGAGTTGAGCGGCAGAAATTCTGCTTGTGCTGCACGCTTTTTGGCGGCCAAGAACAAGTTGAATGTGGCAGAGGCTTCCTTGTCAAATTCTTTAGCTTCTGCAATTGAAGATGCCTATTTGCAGGTGCCTTTCGAAACCATTGTGGGCCTCTTAGATAGTCCCACATGCCCACGCCACCGTCGTGACTTGTTTGCGGCGGGTCGCTTTATAGTTGAAACGCAGCTATACACATGGCTGCTTGCCCAAAACAAGAAAGGGGTTGCACCTGGGAGGCAACAATTAGTAGCAGAAGCGTGCAGGCTGACTCCAAAGGATTTGCCGCATGATGTGGCAGCCATGCTGGAGCAGTACTGGAAAGGCAATGGACGCGCAAGGTCACAAAGAAAGTGGTTGCGCCGCTTTCGTTTTGAACATGGTCTACAGTTGGGCCGCGTGCGTGTGCAGGCAGTGATGCCTCTAGCAGACATGCAGCGCAAGGCGGGAGAAAGTCATTGTTTTGGATGGTCGAAATGAGAAAAGATTCGATATGGATTGTTTTTGTCAAAAAGGTATTTTTGGTCGATTTCTGGGGGCCACTTTTGGACCCTCCTGGAGGGACCGTTTTTGGGCCCTCCCTTGCTTGTGTTTAATAGAGGGTCAATTTCATGATCTCCCAGAAGGGACCATTTTTTGACCCTACAGTCGGCAGGCGAAAGCTTTTTGGAGATGGAGCAACTACGTTCATGCACAATCAAGCAGCTCGGGTCCTCTTCTCTTGCTGAACATGGACGAAACTTCCATTGCTTTGAAGCCAACCGCGAAGGTTGGCACTGCCGCCCGGGGCTTCACAGGGCACAAGGCTGTAGATGCCGCATCTTTGGCTGAGACGCGGGGTCGGTTCACATTGATGTGCACGATTTGCAATGACACGTCTGTGCAGCCATTCCTTCCGCAGGTTCTCCTCACGAACGGTCGGTTTCTTGGAAAGAAGGCCAAAGTGGAGAAACTCAGGGGCAATCTGTCCGTTTGGACCCAGAAAAGCGCTTGGTCATGCCATGCTACACTGAGACGATATATTTCTTTGCTTGGATTCAAGCTCAAGGCTGCAGCTCCGGGCCGTGACTATGCACTACTTCTAGATTGCGCGCCTTCTCACTTGCACGGTTCCATTAAAAGGCAAGCGAAGCTCAACCATATTCGTTTGGTCTACATTGCAGCTGGGCTCACACGTTGCCTTCAACCAGCAGACACAGATCTATTTTCGCGGCTGAAGGAGAAAATCGCAGAGCTATATCGTTCACAGCAATCAATGAGTGTGGACGGAAAGATTTCGCCTGCCCAATGGCTGGAGATCTTGGGTTCATCTTTACAATCAATTCTACCAGCTGTGAAATGGAGCCGGGCCTTCGCCAAGGTTGGTGCTTCGAATTGGCAAAAGGATGTGTGCCAATCTTTACTCTTTGAATTCGGTTGGCCAAGTGTACCGACCATCCCACCAGGGCCTCCGACTGAGTCGGAGGCCCGCGACATTTTCCCTAAGGGAAGAAGTAAGCTGGATGTTCTGTCCTATGTGCATTGGAAGCAGCCAGCGGCCAAAGGTCATGTTCGGCTGTACAAAGGCAAACCCATTAGAACATTGGATTAAACTGCTGTGGAAACACCTTTTGGAACGGTACGAAGAACCCTTCACTCGAGCAACATAAGAGCATCTCGACCGAATATGGGTTGAATGTTTCTGTCCATCAACATTGGCGATTTGGAGACTCCCATAAGAAGACAGCTGATCCTGACAGACATGACTATGAGGTTGCAGTGACAAATGGGATTGAAACCCCACCAGGACCTGACTGACATAAGCTTTTTCGCTGGCTGGTCAGTCAAAGCGCGGCCTTTCTACCCTATCACACTGTTTATCTAGTGACTGACAATCGAGACTTACTATCGGACAAGGTTAAAACCTCGCCAGGCCTCAGCTACTGGCCAATGGTCGCTGCTTGGTGGAAGGAACGGCTCTGTTACGTAGGTCCCTATGGAGAGCTTACGACAGTTGTCTTTGTTCACATTTCAGCTGATACGGGTCTTCCTAGAGTACATCCTACATGGACAGGGACTTACATTCTTGATGCTTGTGTGTTTCTCTTTCCGTCTATCAACTTGCATTGATTGACAGTGATTGTGTGCCAGTGACCCTGTTCGAGATACGTGAACTCTGGTTTGCAAGCACTGACTCGTCACAACCAGAGATACCAAGCGAAGTTGCTAAGAGTAAACAGTCCAGCTCCATTGCGACCTCACACAAGCGAGCACGCTCAGTAGACACAGGAAGGGACTTTTTTTTCCCCTCCGATTTGGCCGATTGCACTAGGCACGGTCCTTACAATTGCGTAAGCGGTGAGAAGCAGTAAAGTATAGGACACGTGTGGTCCAAAAACTCTGGCAAATCATCACTAAAAACAAACAAAACAAAACAAAAAACGCAACCAAAAACGACCCGCAAATCCCCCAGCCAGATTTGCGTTTCGCCACAAAGCAAAACAGCGAAGCAACAAAGAAAGGGGCAGGGCCCAACAAAAAACCAACCAAAACATGAGATTTGCCTTGGATACAGTGACCTAAGCCACTGTATCATCCTCAAAAACATGCAAACTAATTAATTGCGGCAGTGCATAGAGTATAGTACACGATCGTCCAGAATGTCTTACCTGAGAAGAGAGAAACGAATCCAATTTACAGGCAGACTGATGTGTAACACGACAAAGGCCGCCTGTATGGACTTCTTGTCAATAGCAACTTCGCATCGCTGCTGTCCACTCTGTATCGTTCAGCGTATGCACGGCAGTCTGTTCCTGTCAATATGCACCACCGCAAGGGATTGTAATCTATTTCCCCCCCTAGGTGGGGAGGAGAGCACTGGACAGCCTGCAAAATGGTGTGAGCACTCGCAGGAACCGTCAGAGCGCAATGGGCCCAAGACCCCAAGACCATGGGTAAAAAGGTGGCTATAGGCCTGCCCGGCACAATACGGCCATGACAGACTGATGAAACTTCCGACCATAGCATGGGCTCGTGAGCACTTCCAGTATGATACTGCCGCTATGTATGCAAAAGTCGCATTCGCATTGCTGTCAAACTCGTTCCCCTAAACTATGGAGGTTGAAGTGGTTCACTGCGTCAGCACCAGGTCTCACACAGGAGTCACTAGGCGTCATCGTCCCAGCAAGTCCTGCAGAGAGGACCAGATGCAAGTGTCTGCTCCTTAAGTCATGCTTTCCGCACTTACTAACTAGAGTAACTGCCGGCGGTGTCAGGGACATCAACATTTATGGTTTCTCAGCAGGGTCCTATACTGGCCTTGCACTGCATGAGATCCTGAATGATTTCGCTGCATTCTCAGGCCTTACCAAAGTTGCTGCGATCGCCACACCACCTGAATTGATGCGCCTCGCCACAGGTGACCGCAAAGTCACATTGGTTCACTGTCTGGAAGACCGACTGTGTGTGTGGCGACCTGACTCCCTGACAGAATTCAGCTATCAGGTTGTTCTGATCGAAGGGCACCCCACATGGAGTGGGCGCGCCAAGCACTCATATGGCCACTTGCTCTTCCTTGACCTTGACGAAGGGGTGCACGATGTTCAGCGGCTTCAAATCACCAACCCGCAAATTATCCCACATGGGGTCAGATGTGAAGGATTGTTGCGGGTGCTCTCTTGGGTCAGCTTTGACCTTCCGGTCCACCTGAAAACAACCCTCACTACTCTACTGGTCGCAGCTGGAGAGGGGAACACAGAGCTCCACAAGGTGCCGATAGTAGGAAGAGATATTCGGGATGGTCAGCCTGAGTCAGAGACAGAACTGCAACAAGCTCTGATAGCCATGATTCCCACCCCAGGAGGATCCCATGACGAGGGAGAACTCTCATCTTCCTACTTGATATGGTACTCCCGCAACTAGATGCTTATCATGCAGGGCGGCAGCTCCAGCATCTCCAGCCCTGGGTAAGTGTAGAACTAGTGCAGCAACAGAAGCGCGGACAAATGGGAACGCAGCTTCAAGTTACCTACTGGGGAGGACCACTTCTTGGAGTCCAAAAAGCCAATGTGTTTACGGCCCCGAAAATGAGATTGCTGCAGTGACCTTTTTTGCGAAAAATTGCGCAGCTTTAACAAAAAGCAATACTCTTGCAAGTGTAACGGAATGGCAGGATTCCGGGGAACACGGTTGCTGATTGAAGGTCTCTATCCCCCCGCCTGCATGTTGCCAATCTTTGCCAAAGCACCATGTTGTATGGAATTGTTTGGGTGTTGTTGTCGCAGGCTTTCGCAACATGGCGTGGGTGAGGTGCTGATTCCGCTGCGACATTGCTGGCGGGATCCTTTTTTCTGTGTTTGCGTTGGCAGTGGATCGTTTTGTCACGATTGGGCGTCGCACTGCTCAGTTTTGTTTTGGTCTCTTGATGCGTTGTTTGTTTTTGGGCTCCCCCCCTTCGCCCCCCTAGACTCCTAACGCGGCAACTTTGCGGGTCGGGTTATGTATGTCGCCCGGAGTTCAGTATCATCCGGTTAAAGAATAATAGTATATATTTAAAACCGGATGAATCCTTTGTTTACATTGGGGGAAGAGTTTCGATTCCATGACTCCAGCAGATTCCGTAAGAAGGCTGGAGATGCGAAACTTCCGTTTTACCACAGTTTTGTGCCATTTTTGCTGTCTTTAGCTGCGGAGTCTTGCCGGAGTCGGGCGGAGTCGGTACACCTGCTGAAACCCCATTTACAATGGGAAAGGGTTGAAAGAGTTCCAACTTTGTGACTCCAGACGACTCCGCAAGAATCCGCAAGATGCGCAAGATAATGTCACTGAACTGTTCGATTTGTTTGATGTCCATTTTTGGGTTGGAAAGGCATATAGAATTTGGACTCCTAAAGGCGGTCCTCCCCAGTTCAGCACGTGGATGTTTGTGTCATCCTTCCTGCCTTTTGTGGTTTCATGGTTTCTGGCGAACTTTTGAAGCAGCCGGGTGCGTTCCGAGCGTCATGTCGCAACCCCAAAAACAGGATTGCCACACGCTCCAACGCGTGGATTTGGCGCGCCCGTTTTTGGTCTCGCCTGCTGTTAAAATAGAAATTAAAAACAGCCTCGAAATGACCCTGTCCAAAGCCAAAAGCGGTGGCGCGTGGCAATCCCATTTTTGGCAGTGTGGAACCTTGCGACCTGCTCGAAACGCGAAGCTCTTTACATTACGCAAGTAAATCAAAGTTGAGTTTTGTCCAAGCAGCAAGCTTTCAACGCAACTGGAGAGGACCACTTCTTGGAGTCCAAAAAGCCAATGTGTTTACGGCCCCGAAAATGAGATTGCTGCAGTGACCTTTTTTGCGAAAAATGGCGCAGCTTTACCAAAAAGCAATACTTTTGCAAGTGTAACGGAATGGCAGGATTCCGGGGAACACAGTTGCTGATTGAAGGTCTCTAGCCCCGCCTGCATATCGCCAGTCTTTGCCAAAGCACCATGTTGTTTGGAATTGTTTGGGTGTTGTTGTCGCAGGCTTTCGCAACATGGCGTGGGTGAGGTGCTGATTCCGCTGCGACATTGTTGGCGGGATCCTTTTTTCTGTGTTTGCGTTGGCAGTGGATCGTTTTGTCACGATTGGGCGTCGCACTGCTCAGTTTTGTTTTGGTCTCTTGATGCGTTGTTTGTTTTTGGGCTCCCCCCCTTCGCCCCTCTAGACCCCTAACGCGGCAACTTTGCGGGTCGGGTTATGTATGTCGCCCGGAGTTCAGTATCATCCGGTTAAAGAATAATAGTATATATTTAAAACCGGATGAATCCTTTGTTTCCATTGGGGGAAGAGTTTCGATTTCATGACTCCAGCAGATTCCGTAAGAAGGCTAGAGATGCAAAACTTCGGTTTTACCACAGTTTTGTGCCAGTTTTGATGTCTTTAGCTGCGGAGTCTTGCCGGAGTCGGGCGGAGTCGGTACACCTGCTGAAACCCTATTTACAATGGGGAAAGCGTTGAAAGAGTTCCAACTTTGCGACTCCAGACGACTCCGCAAGAAACCGCAAGATGCGCAAGATGATGTCACTGAACTGTTCGATTTGTTTGATGCCCATTTTTGGGGTTGGAAAGGTATATAGAATTTGGACTCCCAAAGGCGGTCCTCCCCAGTACCAATATATGAGGCGCATGCTGGCTTCCATGTCATCCACCTACATTCAGACGGCGCCCCGCTTCTGTTGTTTTGTGCACCGTCTGAAGTTCCAGAAGCCTCACCGAAGGATCTATGTGCTGTAGGGAATCTTGGCAACATGGAAGCCAACGTGATGGCGGGCAGAGCGCTGTTAGGAGTACTACAGCTGCCCAATGCTCAGCGGAGGTGCGCTATTCTCCTGGTTCACGAGAAGGTGATGCAAGGGGGCACCAGCAAGAACCCTGCACAGCGGGCAATCAAACGCATCGCTCCGAAGCTGCTAGAGCTCATAGTAGTCTCACTACCCATAGCTCGGACATTTTGTGGCAAGCTTTTGGACCAGTATCTTAAGACCATAGGTTATTTTGATCCTGCCCAGGACTGGCCGCGACCTATTGACGAAAACATGACTATGGCAGTTGTGCTGGAAGAGCTGGCCTTCTTAGGTGACACCAG